AAGGGAAGCGTTGGGTCAGAAATTAAGGATCTATCAAACTTAAAATAGGCATTGTTTTTCCTTTATGCCATTTTAAGACTTTTGTAATCCATTACTATTTAAATTGTTTGAGGTAAGAAAATTTCTTTCTTGGATTAATTCACTTTTAATGTGCTTGATTCAAAATAAATGTAGGAATAGATTCAGTTAGGCCTCAAAACCGTCCAAATCTTTTTTATGGGAAGCTTCTGTATTGTTACAACAATCATTTGTATATGTTGCATTAAGAGGCCAATAAGGGTAATGAGCCAAAATTTGGAGTTATTTCATTTGAGTATACTAACTGAAGCATAACATCAAATACTTTTTCCATACAGTATTATAAGATTGTTTTCTTGTTAGGTAGCAAGGTAACAACTAACTGATTTTCTTCATCTCATATTGGTTTAAATAGTATATCTTTCGTGAGCTGATTCTCAAAATTCCTGATTTTGTCTTTTTAATGATGAAGTCATGTATTCTTAAAATAATGAAAAAGTTCTCTGCAAGTTTTTCTGGGGAAAATTTTTAAAAATGTCTCGGAAAGCAGGGGAAAATTGGTTCCAAGTAAAAGTGTGAACGTGCTAAATTGACATTCTATACCGAAGGCTAGGAAGTGTATAGAATATCAGTAGTTCATCTCCTGAAGATGACTTTGAACATTAGAAGTCAAAACATCCTAATTATGTAAACAATTACCATTTTAAATGGTACAATGTGAATAGTGTAAATAATAATTTTTAACAAATTTTTGCTGTGTAATTTGTTTAATGTTTTATTGATAAAGTAAAATGTCTGTTTTATGTGTGGTTATAAAGGTTAATAATCTATTAATTTTAACCGAGATGTTAAACAACCTTCATGTAATACCTTCACTTTTTCCCCCCCCACGTTTAGGTTTATTATACATAGTGACTCTGTTAACCCGATGGTGTCAGTGGTGGAAGAGTTCCAGCCATTGTTGCAGAAGTTCCAGCCCCATTTGTTTGTTGTCGGAGGGTTACAAATGATGGACAACTTTCCCTTTCCAGAAGGTAACATGCGTATGAATGCTTTGTTTGAAGTTGTTTAATGTAAGAAACTAACATGCATACTGAGATAGAACAACTATGATAATATCTGATAGAATTACTTCAGTTTGTGTAAGACACTGACTTTCACTGCAAGAGAGCAGGACCATAGTTATGCAATGCCTCCAGTGAGGGGGCCACAAGCAGTAATGGAAATGTCAGGAAATTTAGAGACTACAAGAATCTGGAATTGTCAGTGAATATTTACATTTTGTGGATTAATGGACAGTCAGTGAATAATACATTTTGTGGATAATCCCTTCTAATTTTGTCCTTGGACAACCAGAGAAACACATTTTTATATTAAGCAGTAACAAATGAGTTATTTTAACACCATTATTTTTCTTTAAAATACACCCTTAGTAAATCAAGGTGTGAAATAAATTAAATTTTTTGAGAAAGAATAGGTTTCCTCTGAGAAAAGTAGAGAATTATCCAGGAATTTGTGTGTGGATTTTCTGTCTACCCTCAAGGAAGAGGACAAACGAATAAAATTTCATGAATACTCTCACATTTCCATTATAATGGCCAAAAAAGGTCGCAGACCCAAGAAATTTGAATGCTTCAAGTGTCTTTGAAAAGTATTTGTAATTCATTTATTTTACCAATAAGTCATTGTTAAAAAAAATTAATAGAAGTTTGTAGTCTAAAAATGTTGATGTTAATGCATTTGTTTGGTTTAGTTTTTGAATCCTTTTCATTAAACTTTCAAAAAAATTTTTGGCAGTTTGTGTAGATCAATAATTTAATTATTGTTGCAAGAGTTAATTAGAGTTATTGTTCATTTCACTTAAATAATTTAGGAGTTTCCACACTTATAATCACATAAAGTAAGTTTCTTCTTGTGCTCTCATTGAGGTTTATATTACTTAGATTCCAACTGGCGAATAAGTTGAGCATAAGAATTACCCAGGATTGTGTAAAATCCTCTTGTCAGTATTTATTATATCTTTTCTTTTATAAAAGTAACAGTATGAACGTTTGTATAAGTCACAAAATCCTTATAACTATTGCAGGATTTGCATCCAAATATGTGGAGTGTACTTTTGTTAAGGCTGTTCTATTTTTTTATGGGGGGGGAGTTTTATGTATTTGTAAAACTTCTGCTATTTCACTTTCTGTGGCCTGTACAAAATCAGGGTGTTGTTTTTTAGGATAGGAGTGAGAGCTATAACAGGCTGGATAGCTCAAGCATGGGAGATGAGTAAATGATTATGTGACAGGCGAGGATGCTTTTTAGACAATAGTGATATGTAAATACTCGGGCAATGCCAGATGATCTGCTACTTTCTAATAATCCGATGGAATTTTGAACAATGTGTATAAATTTTAGCTTGTCTCAAAAATTCCAGAGTTCATATTGGGAATTGATAACTCTTAAGACTTGATATCCCTGAAATTGCAGGGAAACGCCGTGAGCGCCTGAGCAAGGTGAGAGAGCAAATGACAAGCCTGACGGATGAGACGCGCATCCACTTCGAGATGGCCTCCTTCACAGATGAGCAGCTTGTGAGGGAGCTCACGCAGTATGTGTTGCCATTTGCTGACTCGCTGGGCATGAACGAGCAGGTGAGAAGAAGCAAAGCCCTCTCCCCAATCTATCCTTCTCTCATTTCGTGGCATCATGGACACGTAATATTGTTATTATCAAGAGCCTGTAGTCTTTTGTGTTTGTGTGTGTGTGTTATGGGGGGGAGGGTGTTTTGGTGGTATTTGAGAACTTGTGTGGATTTTCCTTAAAATCAGAAAAATTGGTGACCAAGCCATCACCAAAAAATGAAAAAAACAGATGTCATGACTTTTGCCCCAACCCCTATATTTTATGCCAATGTTTAGGAAAAAAACAAATTAAAAAATGTATTAGCTTGCATAGAGACAAAAAGTTTGCTGGGCCACCAGTGCCTAGAGCACTCAGGAGAATAGACAAGATACTTGTAGCAGAGTATTATTGACCAAGAGAAGCATTATGAATATTATGTAGAAAATTAAATATTATCTTATTGAAAAGGTGAATGTCCAAAGGTATCTTTTATTTTGTGTGAGTTTGGACCAAAGATTTTTCATGATTTATTAATGGAGATGCCTTATTGAGAAGTTTAAAGGATTATCAGAGAATGTGAATGAAATATATATATAGCAGAAAAAATATGCACTTTTCTTTTTTGTTTTTCTACAAAAGTAGAGGATTCAGAAGGAGAATATTTGTTGTAGGAATTGGCCAACCTGCATCACATCCTCATGTATGGTAACATCAGTTTGGTGTCTGATTCCAATCCTCGAGTTGCGGTTGTACTGGATCAAATGAGACATGTCTTCAAGTAAGTATCTTGCAAATTGTTACCCTACGTTTGATATAAAGGAGATGGCTGTGGTGATGTAGAACAGAAGTATTCTTATCCATTGCGAAATGGGGAGAGAAATGAATAAGATACAGTAGATTATCTGTGTATTTCTCAATTAAAAGACTTCCCTGCCAATAAATATTTCTACTGTGTTGTACTATACAAATTCTGTATTTTAAATATTAAGGCTCGTAACACATTTGAAATCCAATCTGTGTTAAGCACATCAAACACCCATCTAATGAAAATTAAAATAGTGTTTGTCGTAATTATTTTGTCAGGACTCAGAACTCTTTCTAATTATGAATTGCCATGTCATGATTGCTCTTTTAATCAGTAACCTAAAACTTTCAATTCATCCTCTCACCTGAAATTGTCATCTGGTCACATGGTGCTTCAGATTGGTGCGTGAGCTGGGCCTCAGCACACCAAAGTCACGACCACTTACTCGCCTACACGTCCACACCTTGGCATATCAAGCCATTGTGACAGTGGCAGGCTCCCCCTGGAAGAATTCGCAGGCGGCAGCGGCCAAGGCATCTCTCACTGCAAACAGACACGTTTGTGGCTCTTCTGAGGTGAGAATCACAAAGCCCCCCCCGTCAAGAACAACTGATCTAGTGGAGTTTTTCTAAATTATGTATTTTCTCTTAAGATGTACCATAAAGTGGAATGAATAGAAATACATTTATGTACTTAAAATCCTGTACCAAAAATCAGAGAAGTGTAATTTTCTTTTTTTTTAATATCTTATAATATGGGGTTTCATTGAATGAAGCAGTGATCCATAAACAACTTTTAGTGTCTGCAAAAAATATTTTATGTAGCTTCTGTAGATTTTAAGTTTTTAGCTGCACACTAATCATCAAAAAGTCATGTCAGATTGTTAAAAAATCTTCAGTTCAGAAAAGCAATGGAATGCATCTAAAAACAATTTCTTTTGTACCAAGTACCAGTGAAGCTTCAAATATTGAAATTGACCTAATTACTCAAACAGCAATTTTTATTATATTTTTTCTATTACAAGAAGTTTTATTTCTTTTAGCCCCATTTTACTGAACTTGCAAATCATTGTATATAAAATAGCAGAAACATCGATGTCACTTCTTCCTTAGAAAGCATTTGGTGTTTTTATTTATTTATTTAGTAATAAAAACACCAAATTCAAAGAACTTCTATATATTTTGTGGATTAATTTTGTTGTTCTAATAGCACCAGACAAAAACTTTCAAAATTAACCTACAGTTTGTATCTGCTTGTGATCAAAATTTACTCTCTTGTGAGTGTACTTAAAAGAAAAATAAATTGAAGACAGTTGAACTCAAATCTTGTCTTGAAGATGTTCAACATGATCCCAGTGAAGGGAGGAGATGAAACATGAAATTATTAGGAGGTGAAATTTGTTTGTTTTTTGTTTTCTGGTTTAATGTTCAGACATAACACTGTGGGGTTCACAACACATGTTGCTCATGATGTATTTAATTATTTATGGCATTAAATGCAATGGCCACATCTCCGTCTCTTCACCTGCATTAACTATATATTTACTCCGGCATGCATTAAATTTCAGGTGGATGTGGACAAAGCAATGCTCATAATGGACGAGAGCTTTTCTACATCGGCTGCTTCAACTGCGCAGCGTGTGCCTCTGGATGCAAATGCACCTGTGTCTTGTTGGGAGGAACGTTGGCCTCTTGACGATTCACATCTGTCTGCGATAGGTACTCCGGCAGAGTCTGCTGACGTTCTTCAAGTTCAGATATGTGTGGCGCCTGTGTTGGTTTGCACTGAAGCACAGCAGACAGCAGGTGGTGGTGATAATATCTCTTCTGCCGGTTTGGTGCTTCAAATATGATTTAGCGTACCTGTATATGAGCCCCCTACTTCCTTGCACATTGCTGGTAAGTTCTGTATTGAGTTGAGGCTCTGCAAGGCAATGGAATAAGTGTGTATCTCTTTGTCTGTGTATCAATCTTCTTTGTGCTTGACACCAGTTAACCCTTTGCGGACCATTGTCCATGTGATGGGGCAATGTGTTTTTCTTGTTCCAGACCATTTAAATCCCCAAGTATGTGGTTGCACTGGTCTGGCATGCCATGCCATGGTATAAGAAACTGTTCTCAGGTTCCAAACTATTTTTTGTATTGTTACAAAAAAACATTATAATTTATTTACCTAAGTCATAATTTATAATTATGCAGAGAGCTAAACCCAATTACCGATAATGCCTGTAGATTGCAATGTATCAATGGAGTATCCTTACTGTCACTTTCTTCATATTCTTCAGAATCATCTGAGAAAAAGGTTTTAAATTCTTATCTTTCTGAAGATTGTTGACCTTCAGAATTGTTTACTGATTCACTCAGTTCAGGCTGTGACAATCTCGAACACTAACTTCTCAATACCATCATAAGTACAACTGCAGCCTCAAAAACAAGCTGATTCCAAACAATAAAAAATGGGCAAAATCTGGTAATAATGAAGAAAATTACTGCCTAATCCCTCCTGAAGACAATTAGTTGTACTGGTCTCTGGAGCCATCTACCTGAGTGAAATAGGAGTTAAAAATAAGTCCTGCCTGCAGGACACTGGACCACCATACAAAGAAAACGGAAAAGCGAGAGGACCGCAGAGGGTTAATGGGGCACAATGGCCAATGATATTCTAGCACTGGCAATAGCTTCTCATGTAATGTACTGTCTTTGCCCCCAATTTGTAGGAAGCAAATTAAAAAGATAGAGCAAACGTGGCTTTATGGCAAAGCACAGACCTGCATGCAGCTAATGTGTGGCAACAGTGGTAAAGCTCAGCAACGCTACTAGGGCCCTGTAACTCTCCATCAAAACTGGGGACAAAGGTCGAGGGTGCTACTATAGGAGGCACTGGTGTCGCCAGGTGGAGTTGCAGGTTAGGCTCGCCAACTCTCCCACTTAAAAATTGGCTAATTTGTAAGAAATCTGAAAAAGGGTCTTCTTAATGTTCAATTATTCATAATCTATACTTATAACAAACCTCTGAAGAAAGCGCAAACATAGACGATATCTTTTGTAACATTATGAGCCTGCTTGCGACCTGTGAAGTCCTGCAGCAGCCACTCACATTTTAAGTATTGTTGGCAGCAGTTCGTGTTTTAGTTTGTGTAAAGAAGGCGACGCAGCAGAGCGCACTAGGTCTCCACCATGTTATATCGGACTTATAGGGCCCTGAATGTTACCTTTACTGAGTTGTCAAACACTAGGAAGATTGGTAGACAAGCAGTAGTGTAAGAATCAGTGGCTGCCACTTCAGTTACAAAATTAAAAAATAAGAATTGGAGAGTTTTCACCGAAATGGCTGCTTCTGGTGCTTTTACCTTGTAGTTATACTTTGAGCTGTGTGCTTTTCACACCTTTCTTTTTTGTTGTTTAGATAATCTTGTTTCCAATCATTCCTGAAATTGGATCCAACTTTCAGAAACTGCAACATCAAAGAAACAAAAGGAAACAGACATATACTTGACAAAAGCTTTTTGCAGTTGTGTGTTCAAATTGCCTCAATCTAAGACTGTAATTATGTTTTCTTTTCCATTATTTTGTGTAATTTGTATTATTTTTCTACATTTGTTTTAGCTATTGCTGTTTTACATCATGAATTATGTGCAATTGATTTTGTGTTCCTTCAATATGGAACAGATTTTATTCTGTTCACTTTGGAAAATTTGTATACATTCCATTTTATGAGAATTTATGAGCAGTTCCTGTTTTGAATGAATCTTTTCACCGTTACTATTAAAAACTTTTAAAAATATTTTATGTATTTGATGATTGTGTATTTTGATCCTTGTCATCAAATGTTCATCGTGAAGCACTGTTTGTTTTTGTTATTTAGAAGTCATTTTGATGGACATTGCATTCTAAAAGGACTATTCCTTCAGAATTTCCTTTGGAAAAATAATTCTTGTTATACATTTTAAGTTGTTTACAATGGAAGTACTGTAAACTTTTTCTGTTAACCTTTTGACACAAAGTAGGGAATAGTTAAGAAGACAAATGGTTGTCAAATTTCTGTAGATGTATGAAGTTTATCATAGCTATTTACCATTCAAATCAGGACCTGATTCTGCTCTGGAGTGCTTCACAAAATAAAATTTGATACACAACATTCTGGGCTTATTCTGTAAATGATTGTATTTTTCCTTGATCATAAGATGGAGATAAATGAATAGAAAATGACAATGTTTAAAGGAACTTGTAAAATTTTCTGCAGATTTTTTCTTTTTTGTCAAAGGACAAAGGAAAGTGAAGCATAAGAAATGTTTCATGAAGAGTTTGCACTGGGATTTGTGGTTTGCCTAAATTTAGAAATAACTACATTTGATATGTTTTTTCAGAGCATATGACTGAAAACAAGTCATTAATTCGAAAATGTTTGTATTTAAATGTGTTGTTTGGTTTTATACGTTCAATGAATGTATTGTAATGCAGAATAAGGGGCAATCTGCTTTTGATTCTGAAATATTGTAGACTATACGTAAAGAGCCTTAAACCATTAAGAGCAGTTGTTTCAATAATTGTGCTAATTCTGTGGAAAATCAAATGAAGAATCATTTCTGATTTCTAGCCTACGCTCAATCTTTTTGCTCTTTAAGTCTTGTAATAAATTGGCTTGAATATATTCTACTTTGCCCACTTGGGATTTCAACATTTTGTACAAGTTTGTAAGTTGTTAATTACTCAATAATATGCAAGTTATTGCATTTATTGTTATTATGAGATTTCCTACAGCAAATGGTTTAGTACTATCTTCTTCTTATTTTCTTTCTCTTTTAATTTAAGTCTATTAAGTTTGATACTAGGTCCTAAGGTAGATTCTGTTTATTTTATTGAGTAAGAGATGTTTCCATGTTAATATCTCTTGAAATAGCATAAGCATTAGTTTGGAATATGTAATTGATTGAGCAATTTTGCCCAATATAATGAACTTGTGAAAGACAGTAGAAAATAAAGGGATTTTGTTTTTTGTATTGGAGAATCTTGGAAACTAAATTACAGTGAGGAAGTTGTATTTGTCAAAAGAAAGAGGAAACAATTTATCTTCTGTGATCATTCCAATGAACAGAGTTGTTTCTTGTGATACAAGACAGTGAAAGCATTCTTCTTGTATAAATCACCACTAACTTGTACTTACTTTGTGTGAGAGTAAAGTTAACCTTGCAATATTGTGATATTTCTCTGTGAAAAACAACGAAATCTATGTGCACCAATTGCAAATGAATACTCATAAATTTTTCTGAGTATTGTCTAATATTAATAAAGATAGAATCAACAAATTGAGGAAAGTTTCACTTTTCAAGAATATTGTGCGACAGCATTTGATTTTCAGATCAAATGCTTATAATAATTAGGGTCCAATCAGTGGAAGATAGTGCAAATGACTCTCTCCAATAGTTTCTTTTTGTAGATTTCATATTTGGAAGTATACAAGGTTAACTCTACTCCAGAATGTAGTAATCGGTGTTGGTTAAACACAATTAGTGACTATAGTATGCATTTTTGTTGCTATGTATTTGGTGGTATGTTTCTGTTTTTGTGTTCCATTTTTATGTTTGTTGTCTTTCCCTGAAAGTTTTGCAAATGTTGAGCAATTTTGTGGGGTGAAATAAGATTCACTAACTGATTAAATTTTGCAAATATTTCTGTGGTGATTAGAATATTTATGGTTGTATCTATGCTTGTAGCTTGTTTTCAACACAGGAATGAAATGCTTTTGGACTGCTTTTCCTTGTGTTGAAAATAAATCTTTATTTTAATTTCCATTCTTCAATGGAACAATCAATATAAATAGTGGGAAGATTTATGTGAATGGAAGTCAAAGTTCGTGGATAGTTTATAAATTGATAAAGTACATTTAATACGAATACAGCATTTACTTGATCTTGTTTGTGTTACACCTAAAGATTTATAATTTCTGCATGGTAGTTATTAATAATCAAAACATGACCTCATGTGTTGCTGTAATTCTTCACACGAGATGATGTTTTGAAGTTTTTCAAAACTCCAATTCATGATTGAAGTGCAGTTTACAAGTGCACAACATTTGCATTATATATTTGTTCTATAAAGGCTATGTTGGTTCCTTGTAGCAGCTTCCAAGAGAGATGCTGTGCAATTTTTATTAAGACTGCTGGCAACAAACATTCTATAACATACTTTAAAACTAACTTTCAAAAAAAAAAAAAATACAAAATCAAAATATTGATATTATTTTTCAATGCCGCTTGAGACTTGCTTTGCCCGAAAAGGGTGAAACCATATGTGGACCAATGTTTAACTGGATAGAATAATTCAAAACAAAGAAATGTATGAACATATCCAGCTTTTCTCTTCTTTTCACCATTCTTTTGTACTTTTTGAGGGCATTTAAGGTGGAAGGAAAATCACATGTACAACAGAACCATTTCTTGAAGATGGCATTTCTTTTAAGTTCAAAATAAGGTTAAATTGAGATTTACAGAAGTCTTGGGAATTTTACTATTTGAGTTATGAATTTTTTCAAGAACTGCTTGTAAAGATAGTTTTATTTGATTCACAATTGAAATCTGAGAATTTGTATGTTAGTAACTTTCTCTGAAACTCCAGAAAAGCCTTGATCTGCAGGAAATTTTTTAGATTGTACGTTTTTGAAAAAAAATGGAAAGATGATTTTACTGCCTTATTATTGATGGTCATGGTGACTCTGTACTAGAAAAGTCACACCATAAAATTTCTGCTGTCTACATCTTGGACAAAGGGATCAGGATTTTTGTTGTATAATAATTTTTTCCGTATTTGGAGCACACCAGCAAACCTAAATTTTTTGGAGAACCTGTGGTCTACATTAATTCTAATATTATCTAACGAAGATGAACGCGGTTATGTTAATCTTTTATTGGGCTTCTTTTTATTAGTAAGTTTTTACGAGAATGTAACTTTGAGGATTATGGAAAACTACTTGTAGTTTAATTTACTACAGTCGAGTCCAATATACCTAACTGAAAATGCCATCTATAATGAAATGATATTTAACTTAATCTGATTCTTGCCATTCATTCCGTAGTCTGTAAGTTACATCACTCATTGCCACTAGTCATCATGGTGAGAATGCATGATAGAGAATGAGAGCATTGGATGATGCAATTCTGTTTTGTACAGACTAGAGAGCTGCTATAGATGTGTATATGTGTAGTTACAAAATCTTGTACATTGTACTATCATTCTTCCTGAGTAGTTTTTGTATCATTGTATCAATTTGTCAAGTGGAAATTTGATAAGAGCAGGTGACTTGGTTTTGGTGGAAGGAAAGGTGCTGTTTAACACATTTCATATCAGGAATCATATTCACATTTGCTTCATTTCAACTTGCAAACCATGAAGAAAAACCAAATAGAGCATTGGATTAATTTTCAGAAAACCTTTCGACAACATTACTATACAAATTTTTGAAGATGACAAGAAAAATGCATGCTTTGATTTTTGTGTTTAAATTTCAATAAACAATTGTCTTGCTTTTTAATTCACACTTGGATATTAAAAAACCATCAGTATGTTGAAAATATTATCATGTATTTATACCAAATTTCTAGTGTGTGGATTTAGCTCATGGGTAGGAACTATTAATGAATTGAAATCATAATGCAATAGAAGATCAATTGATTAATATAGAAGATACAGAGAAGTAGTTTAATGTCGGTGAGATAAAGGGCTGGCAAAAGTTAAAAGATAATGAAAAAAAGTTTCCTGACTTATTTTTACCATTAAAATAAATTCCTCATTAATTTACTTTTAAAATTAATTAATCATTAATTAACCTTAATGAGTGCCTGCTCTCTGCTCAATTTCACTTGGCTATGAAAAAACAACTCAGGTCAACTTTTGTATTGTTCTAAAGATTGTTCATTTTACTTGAAACAGACTATACAACTGCAATGTTGAAAAAATAGATATTTGTTACTCCAAATTTGATTTCTTTAATTTTCCTTTTCCTGATTCCTTCAACTTGAGAAAACCCATGTTTGTTAGTTAGGGAACTTGAGGCTTTGAAGTGTGAGAATTTCTTGTGTAACTTCGGTTAACAAATATTACAATAGGACCTTGTTAACTATTTTGCATTTTCATTTGTTTCATCGTATAACCAGCTGTCCGGGAGACACTAGGCAATTGTATCAAGTTAAAATTATATGATGGATATTATAGATTGAATATTATGTTGGAATTTCAAATCCTGAACATAATGTACAATCTAACAAGATTTTCTTTCAATCACAGAGACAAACTTTAATATTGTATTTTTTTAACCATGACATTGAGGGCTTTTTCAACTTTTAACGTAAGCTTAGCTAAGAACCAATTGATATTCATTGGTGTTCAAGACAATTCTGTAATATAGAATGAATGTACTGTTTTTTGAATTGGTAAATAAAGATGTGAAATATTGGTCACTAGCAGACATTGAGGGAAACTGATTGGATTGATTTGGGAGGTTGCTGTACAGGAATTCTAATCTTCAGTTTTGTGGTCATTGTTTAGAAATATTTTCATTTCATCACATGTTGCATTGAAGTGCCAAGCTGCTATTGCGTGCTGCGGGAATTCCCATCCACTAGAATCTCTGGCTCTAGAGCTGCTGTCAAATTACAAGAAAGACCGTGCTATGCTCAAGCAAGAACCTGTGGAAGTTGCATTCCAAAAGTTTTCACTTTGTAATTACGTGTATACGTGCTATTATAAATAGTCTTGCGAATACACAAAATAACTAGATTGTAATGGCTGCTACATATTTCTTCGCAGAATGACAAATCAAGGAAATAGTCTGCAAATAAATCTATCTTATCAGTGCAACTGGCTGCGAAATTATAAACATTATTTATCACCTTTTATAGAGGAGAGTTTACAGTAAACTTACCTGTAAAAGTGAAGTTATACAGAGGCTTGTAAGAGAATGGTGCATGCTGTGGAACCAACAGTCTATTTCTAAGTGGAAACTAAATTTAAATTTTCAGGTTTGTATCAATAAACAAAAGTTTCATTTCAATGAAAGTATGATAAGAAGCACTGAATAACATGGATGCAGGTTTGGAAATCACAGAGAGAACACTTAACATTTCCACTCGATAAGCTTGTTAATGATGAGGTCAAATACCTGGGAATATTGAAAACAAAAAGTTCTTCAAATCGGCAAAATTAGTCTTCTTTTTTATTTAATATCTGCTGAATTACAAGGCTATCATTAATCTGTGAGAAAATGAAATAGCTCATTTTTGTATGTAAAGTAATTTTCTTTCTCTAAGAAAAACAACTTATTTCACTGTACATTTGGAAGTAGCTGCAGAATCAGAAAAATCTTGTTCTCTTTGTACAATGCTATCACTCTCCAATAAATTATGCCAGATTCAAAATCCACCAAAGAAAACTATATGCAGTGGAAAACAATGTAATTTAAGGATGATAAGAGCTTTTGACCATAATCAACGCAAGTACAAAGTTCTCAAGATGTATGAAAGATTTTGGGAAACTTATAGTCCAAGTTCGTATTAAATCATTAGTATCATAATTCAATAAAAAAGTGAAGAAAGTCAAAATAAAATTAATATGAAGTACAATTTGCTATGTTCAGGTTTTAATTAATTTCTGTGACAAAAGGATTAAAAATTATTGTTTTTACAGCTAGGTAGTAAGGAAGGTACAATTATTTCAGTCTTTATCTGACGCATGGATACAGATGCTGAATTGAACTTGGCAAATGATTCTAACAATTGTACAAATCGGTAATAATCTGCAGTAAAATGAATTTGAAACTTTTCAAGTAATCAAGACATGATCACATGTTCCACACATTTCAGGATAAAGATCAGGAAAAGAAAAATTGAGACATGACAAAAATAATAAATCAGTTGTTAAAACAATTTAGAAGATCTTTCCATCAAATGATTATTTTACTAGACAGCATAATTTAGCCCTTTCATCACCAAATAAATGTTTCTTTCAACTTTGACACTCTTAAACAAGAGATAGTTGGTGTAATAGGATAAGCATATAAAAACAAAAATGTTCACACTTCCTGATTCAGATTAAATAAATCATTGTTAGCGTGATAGTAGCTGCACCTGGTACAAAAATATAATTAGAACCAACTCCCATGCAATCGATCAATTGAATAGATTAACATTTATTGACATTTATTTTATATTATGCTGATGCTAAACCTTTTTATTTATTATTAGGACTTTTTCTCGTTGATATATGCTGCCCTAAAACATTTCTGAGACCGTTTACTCCACCCATCTACAAACTTTCAGGCTTTCTCATTGTGGGACCAATACAATGCAAAGCCATCTGTAACATGTTCACATATTCGCACACTCGTACTCACTTTCACACAAGCATGCACACATACATACACATACTTTCCATGTGAGTCTATACCTCCTTTGCACGCATGCAGTTTTGTAAAGATGTACCCTTGTCCAAAGTTGTCCAGTTGTCTGTTTCCTTTATGTCTATTGATAAAATAAAAATTGCAGTATAAGAATCTGAGATAAGAGGGAAAAAAGTTCATGTTGATTTCCCAGTTTTGAATTTAATTGATGTCTTATTTTACGTGGCAAGACCATGAGGCCTGCTCCTCCATAAATTTCACAAATTTGGCTACACTTCTTTCAGCAACTAGTGGAGAAAGGAGGTATTATTGGGGAGATGAAACAGGTGATTTTAATTTAGCTCCGAAGCTTCATTTAGGCTCGAAAATCTGTTAAATGCAGAAAATGTACTAACATGGGACAGCCGGCTTGACTTCCCTTCCGAAGCAAGGTGTAGGAAGGTTTTTCGCCCTTAAAAAACATTTAAATGGATTTGAACCCGCAATCTTGGGTATAACAGTCAGATATGGTAACCATTGCTGCCACATGTTGGGGGCAATGTGAATATATGGATTAATATACATTTGCTTGATCAATAACACTAAGTTCTGGCTATTCAGTTATTTGCCATCACATAAATGTCATCACTACAAGATTAATCCATACAGCTATTATCAAATGTCTGCAAGAATTCCTGTTTGTCAAATACACTTGTTAGATAAGACAAATGACCACTAAGCAACAAATAAAACACTGAGAGTATTTCAAAGCTTTTACTTATGATCATGAATTAATAAGATAAATAATATTTTGGTGAAATTTAAACTATTGTTGTCTTTTGTTAACAGTTAAATCTGGACAAATCACTTTGAATTCACAAAATTCAGCTTCCCTCCTAGTGATTGTCTCATTTACTCTGTAAAGCTAGCTTCACTTTACATTAGTTTTCATAGCTGGCTTCACTTTTCATAGTTGAACATAAATTTCACATTCAAAACAGAAATTTTAATGCACCAACACAATGTTTTTCTACTGTAAAACATCTCTAAAATACTGCACATATTCATCCATGTACACAAAAGATCCTCAAAAACATCTTATTCTTGCAACAAAGACATTACAAATAACATTTCTACATTTGAATAATAATTAGGATAGAAAAATGTATAGCTTTTTTTCATTAAATTAAGCATACATTTATTGCATACACTGTTCTACTTGAGCCATGTTTGCTATAAACTTTCTCTTCACATCATCAGTTATTGCACTTCAAAGCACTCTTGCACATTTCTTCAATAGCCAAAAAGTTTGCCTTAAATGGTGACATGTGTAATTTGGCTATTTCAAGGTATATCATCTATGGCACCTTCAACAGATGAATCTGACAGAAAAACACACAAGTGTAATAACGTCTAAAGGGTTGTCCATAAATTACGTAACGCTAAAGAGAGGGGAGGGGATTCGAGGCAGCGTTACATAAAGGTAGGGTGTATTAGTTTAGTTATGTAATATTGATATTTATTTTTTTAAATTTTAAACATTTGCAGAAATAATTGCATGCAAACAGCTGTTGTCAGAAATTGTCTTGTCTGTGCATCCTTCCTTCACTCACAAAATTTCTCCAATCTTATTTTGTTAGGAGCAGTCAACAACAACTAATTCTAACTTTAATTATCACAAATTTTAATGTATTTCACAAAATTAATAAAAAATGTTTTTACTATTATATATTTTTAGTCACTGTAAATGGGGGGGAGGGGGAGAGTGTCATAGGTGTTAAGTAATTATTTAGTGTGGTCAAGCATGTGTTACTGTTGTTACAGGGGGAGAGGGGATATTCAAAATACTCCAAATTTGTGTTACGTAATTTATGGTCGGCCCCAATTCACAATGCCACAGAGATTGATAAGCAAGGGACTTATTGTTCACAACCATAATGTATTGTAAACAGATTTTTAGGCAAAGCAATGTTACATGTATTGAACCTGATTGTATATTTTATAAATAGAACATAAAAACAAAAATTCATTGCAACAACTATCAAAAACAAGAACTTCAACATTGTAACCTTATGTTAAAAGCGTAATATAAATGTGAAACAATAAATATACCAACTTGAAAAGATCTTAAATATGGTAGCAATTAAGAAGACTGTCTGTAATGAAAACGTCTAAGGCAAAGCCCCAAGTGTAAATGGACATCTCAGAAAATGACAACTTTAACATAAAAACATTGAACATCTTGTAGCCATTTGTTATGACTTGTTTTTGCTTTTATATTAATTCAATAGTAAATATGTCATGAATTTTGCATAATTTCTCTCATTTGACAAGATTGATAAATCGTTCATGGAAAGCTGCACATATAGGTGAACTGTTTTAAAATGAGAAAAAGTAATTATCAAATTCCTATGAATTGAAATGTAAATGAATTATGAAATGTGAATTGAATGAAAGTACTTCCAAAAACATTACAAGAGAAATAATCAAAATTAAATTGGTTCTAAAATATACAATATATAATTTATGTTATGTTACACAAGTGCATGCAAAACAATATACTAAAAGCTAATGCAGGCATTTCTATAATGAAGTTAAATGAAGATTTCACCAACAGCACAATATGGAATTCAATGGACATATCAGTTCTTTTTGCCTTTTGGCAAAAGCGGTTACAAGCCAAGATTAGATCCTGCAACCATTTCTTTTTAACAAAAACAAAAATTATCAAAAAAGCTCTTTTTCATTACCAGGTTGGAAAATTCACAACCACTTTTCTCAGAATTTGTATTCTAAGTTTGAACACTGTACTAGTACTATCATGAGAATGAATAATTAACAAATAATTGAAAAAATTGAGCGTATAATTAATTAGATAATGCAAATAACTTTCAAGTAAACAAGTAGTGGGGGTGTTTTTTAAGTAAACAAGTTTTGGGGGAGAATTTTCTTTTCATTACTGACAGCCTTCTTTTAAAAAGTATCTTTAAGTGATTCCACATGTCCAAAACTTAAGATGCTAGGGTCCATTATAGAACACTAAAATTCTATAACACATGAGAAAGAATGAAAGAATATTGTCATTTTTTCTCTGATATATCTTGACCACTCTGCCTTTAAAATTTTTAATTATTATTTTTTTTGCTTTTCATTTGATTGTCATTAATACGGAAGTCACATACACAAGAAGAATCGGATGTGAAACAATTCCCAGTTCAAATAATTGAAAAGTAATTAAAAAATAGGGGGGGGGGAATTAAAATGTTTAAAAGAAATTGTAACATTAATATACTTCTTACATGGAAATCAGATGGAGTGGTATGTCATTTTAACATAGAACATTTTACTTTTACAAATTGAGAAACAAACTGTTGCATTTTTCCAGGTGAAATAAACACACACAAACACCACAGAATTGTAAATAACACAGGAGAGCCAAATTCTTAATGAGGTTTCCTCCTCAAAAATAGTAACAGTTTCAGTATTATCAAATCAGATTAAAGGTTGCATTGCATGCTGAAGAAGTTGAAGATGAGAAGAATTCTCGCACATTCACAAAAACAGGCTTCGCTTTCCTTTTATTTTCTCACAAGGCACTCCACACATACGAACACATTTGGCACAGGCCATCACACGCAAGCTGAGTATTTGCAAGAAAACAGCTGTCAGCCATGCACTGCAACATAACATATCCACAAAACCTGTTGGTTGTTGCAACCTGCCTGGTAACTGTTTTTGACAACATTCGCAATGTGTCATGGATAATACTATTTCTTTGAAAGCACTAGAAAAGTAAAAAATGTGATGGTTCAAAAAAAGCAAAGCTTTGGCCAAAGCCAAAAAAGATTGTGAATCCTAACAGAGCAGGTAAATCTAAAAAATTCAAAACTGACAATTTCACTGTCCATTGGGAAAAGAAATTATTTTTCGGCCTTGCCACAATATGTAATTACATTGCACATAAAACCAGTCTGACAAAGGCTGAGCTCATTATTCACTCCAATGATCAATCACCAACAACCAAAATATGTTTTAAAAAAGCTCCTTCTTGGAGTTACTTTTTAACTCTTTTGCCCCATACCAGTTTTCACTGAAAAAACTTACTTCACTTTTTAGCAGAATTTCTTAAAAAGAAGTCCATTTTGATACCTGTTTACATTATTTAGACGATACATTTTTTTTGTTTAAAATGGGCAGAAATATGTAACAATCAGTGGTTGAAATGGCTGCACATTTTTTGAAATGGTTAACCTTGAGCAGTTTTAACAATTGTAAATGATGACAAACTTGACATCTAAAGTAAATAGTTATTGACAAATTTACAATGAGTAGGGTGGTTTGACCAATAAACATTAGCCCAAAATTTGATTTATATATTTTTGGGGGATTAAAAAAAAATCTTGATTTTGCAATCATAACAAAAGCCCTGCTTACTATATGTAGAGTAAGATATTACATTGTTTCCATTTTGGAAATACAGCATGAATAACTGCTTGTGAGACAGTCTATCATTTTGTCTCCTTTCTGAATGCTCGATAGTAAGACTGTCATTTGCAGTAATTTCAACACAGATTAATCTAATATGCTATACATGTAAACCAAAAAAATTATTCTTTGCTCTGCTTCTGTTTGCTTCACAACTTCTTGATTACTTATTTACCTCCCTCTCTTCAATTGTAGGAATACAAGCATAAATTGAGGATCATTTTTGCAAATCTTGTTTTACACAAAAAATAAATTCTTAGAGAACTAGTTGTTTTTTTCCTTTTGAGCAGGCAACTACAAATTCAAGGTAGTAGCATAATTTGTCAAACTTGTACAATTTTGAGCATAATTTATAATGTTCCTTTAAAATATGCATACTTTCTTATAGTTAACAATTACACGCAATAGAATCTTTTTCAAATCTCACTTTATGCTTAAAGATGTTCTCTGAAACCCAAACTGTGTTATAGTATTTGTATTTGTAATTAGCCATTATGTGTCCTGTAAAGGAAAACTGGCCTGAGCACCATTATATATATCCCGGGGTTCCTAGTTAGTCACCAAACAAGGAATCCACAATGTCTCGAATTCACTTATTTTTCGTGACTTCACATAGTTACCAATTCATCTAATGATGCCAGTTTCATGGTCATGGCCCTTACGTAGAACCATCCCAGCATTCACCTGGATGACAGAAGGAAACCTCAAAACTCCCAATCAGGATAGCCGGCATGGGAACAGAACCTGGGCATCCTGAATGCAAAGTCAGCGGGCTACGCCCTGAGCTACTTTGCTTCATTGTATTATAGTATTTCCTCAGGACCATATTTTCTCTCAGAGCTGCCATGACCTCCACTAACATAGAACAGGTCTTTGTAGAAATTTACTTCATCCTTAAGAATTACACGGAAACGCATTAGCTTTTTCATATCTCTTCTTTTCTTTACTTATATGATTTGCTTGAGTGATGGCTCTAAATGAAATTATCCTCTTCAAAACATCATCTCTCTGGTCTACTACATTTAATTGATTTAACAACATACAACACTTTACTAGTAGTATGACTGTGTATTATTGCCTGAGCACACATCGTTTTGAAAGACAATGTAGCCTTCAGGATTTCTTTCAAAAGTCACAAGGAAGTCTTTTCCCCTCAACAGACCTTTTCAAAATTTTGATTGAATAGTCTGATATTCACCCGGTAATATGATATCTTCCTTTCAATATTCTTTCTCAGACCTGCTGAAAACATGAAACAGTTTTCTTGAATGGGACAATAATGAGTAATATTACTGGTAATTGCCACATTTAAAACTTTATAGCTGTGAGGTGTTTTAATCATGAACAATTGTAAGATGCAAAATAAAATAATTGTTTCATAGCCAGACGCAGCCACATCTCAGATACACAAATTATTTTATCAATTGTGGGAATCACCTACAATAGTAATATCAGACACTCAGTAGGCTACCTTTAGCTGATAGTAATTTTTAAAGAAAAAGATAATTAATTATGTGAATACATAGGTATGCTTCAGATAATATACCAGCATGCAGAGCATTATGTAAATCTTGTTCTGGGCTGGTGCAAGACTCTGAGAATAGCTCGTATCGATCCTTTTTGCTGAGTTCTCCACTACTTTCTTCTAAATTTAACATGAAATAAAGCAATGGAGTTGCAATTTCATTTGTTCCTCTCCCAAATTCTGTTTCACTTCATGTTTAGAAGAATATTTTATCAATGAATTACATATGGTGAACTTTTAGCCAGTGGTGGTTGGTGGGTTACGAATTAGGAGAGGCAGCATGTAAGTCAGAAGTATCGCATATTTTTTACCTCTTCAAAATATTTCTTGATTGACAATAACTATAGCATATATGTAGTGTACAACCAATTTGCATGCGTTGGGATTGTAATCCTTGTCTAAGACAACTTATTGGTTGAAAGAAGTCATAAATTCTGCTCATGCGAGATTTTTGAAAACATATTTCCAGCAAACTAAACAGGAAATTTATGAAATCAGATGAAAGGGTCAGAATTCTTAACATCGTTAACAGCTCAAACTCTGCTGAACAAAACTCTACTAGCAGCACGATGCTCTCGGCTACCTCCCAGCACCCCCCCCCCTCTTCCTTGAGCTTCCATTGCCTTGCACGCACCAGCTCAGGACGGATGCGTCTTAGCCCACAAAGTGACCCATAAAATTGAATTAGTCCTCAAAATGCGCTGCTGGTAAGCACAAATTAAACAAGTCAATTTATTGTGAGTTTAATACTTTCTGCAACTTTCCCCAAGATTGTTTTTTCTGGAGAGGGCACCCCCTTGAGCCCATAGGAAGCAGCTACAATCATTAAACTTTTGCATAAAATGAGTTCTGCAAGAACTTCCTTTTTTCTTGAGACTACAACTCCAACAGAAAGAAAGAGTTACAAAAGCTGGCTGTGAAGTCATGTAGAGGGCACTGATCAGAGTATTTCAAAAAAATAATAAATTTTGAAAAGTGATAAATTGTGTTTAGCAAAAATGGTCCTCAATTGATGTTCAAAATTAAATACCTAATTTTTGTGACTTTTTCAACTCATGAAACTTACTGTAAGCATTTTAAATATGGTTAGCGTGTACAGTAAACTAAAAAGAAATGAAATTTATTTTCTGTGGTGTTGTTATAATATAACAGAAATTTTCTATAGGATGTGCGATTTCCTTTTGCTCACTATAATATGGTTCTCATCTAAGAATTGTAATTTTCTTTTGTGAGTAATCTTTAATACAGAGAAGAAAAAAAAGAAAAAAAAAAAGTTTTTGAATCCCACTATGCAGTAGGGAAGTGCATATGACTGATAGTTAAAGAAATGTTTCATTGCTTGTCAATCACAGGAGTAGCACAAGCTTTGAAAGTTATTAATGTCCTAGTGCAAAGATGGTGAAACAAATGGCATAATGAAAGCAGTATAAAAAGTTATCAACCAGAATCAAAGTTAATTACAAAATCATCTTTCAAATGTATTATTGCTTGTGAAAGTTCATGTGTGTGTAATTAAAATAGCACCAAACAGATCCCTATTTGTGCAGAACAATTATCATTGCAATAAAAATGAGTTGTTTTTTTTCTGTCTTAACATTTTCCTTGAGGAAAAAAGTTTAATATTACTTATAGCATTTTGCATTTTTTTTAGACCGCTTTTGATCTGTGTATGATACAATACTCTGAGACATTTTACTGTCAGCTGCAATCAGTATTCAAATTCAAAAGAGAGTACTCCAAGTTCTCATATTAATCACTTTGACATTTGACCTGCACAACATTTGGTTGGAAATCTTAATTGTCTTCCAAGTAGTAAAAGAGGATAAAAGAAAAAGTATGTATAAATATTCAGTTTTAAAAATAAATAAAAATATTTCTTTGCACAAATTAAGATTCAATGTGAATGTCTGGCCTGAACAATAGAAAACGATCTGTGATGAATTCGAGAAAATTTGCATCACAGAGGATGAACTAACGTACACACTTTTGTAAGAAATTATTGCAGTTCACAATTTTAATTGGGTAGTTCACTTTACCTATTCATGAACAGTCTTACAGTGACATCTTAGTTAGAACAAACTTCTATTTTAACAAATTTCTTCCAAAACAAGATGTGCTTACAGTCTATAGAAGGCCCCATTTACTAAGAAATACAACGTAACATCAAAGCAAAAGATTTCTGTCATGTTATTTAACAGAAACTCTGCTACTATAAATGTAAGTCTTGGACAAACTGCAAACTTCCAAATTAAATTAACTCAATTTGAGAATATGACAAAATGATGTAGAAATATTCATAGAATTTCCAGTGTTTTCTTTACACATACAGATAGATATACATAAATCAATCTTCTCTCATGAAATCAGGCTTTGAATCACTATTGCTTATTTTAACTTGATAGAGCAAACCCACACAAACATGGGCATCGTTAGCCAAATTGCTTAACTACACTATGTGAAGTCACGGATGTTAAGCAACAAAGACGCTATGGATTCCACGATAGTGTTACAAGACAAAAAAAAATGTAATGGAAGATTACCCCATATCTATATATATGCTCAATGCCCAAAAGATGTCTAAGAGCCGTAGTTGGAACAAGTATTTTGCACATCATCGTTTCACATGTGAAAATAGATTCAAACTTGAACCCCACTTTGAAAATTTTTGTCGACCCTTACTATATATTCCCTCCAGAAATGTAATAAAACATCCAAAAAGTCTCCATTTGTAAGATTAGAAACATGACCTTTTGTTCCTTTTGGAATATGAAAACCTGATTCATGGTCTCGTTGTTTTGAAGTTATGCATGATGCTAATAGCCTCCTCTTTTTCCTAAATCTTAATCAGCAAACTATCCCCCCCCTCCCCGCAAGTTTGAGGCAGGACTGGGGGAAGGGTTTTTTTTTCTCTCATTTAGCAGTGGCACCAGAGGTTTTCTGTTAATGGATTTTTATAATTGGTTTAAAACCATAATCTTTCCTTTAGTAGAAGGGATTACAGTGAAATCTCAATATTGCAGACTCATTTTTAAGTGCACATGAGAAATCCCAGCTAAAGTTCGCTTTATTACAATGCACAGGAAGCATGGACTGTCCTCCCTGCAGAATTCAATTAACCGGAAAATTATTAATTTGTTCCTCCTAAGGACACAACGCAGTTCCACACTTTGAAATGAAGATGGTAAATAAAACTTTCCCAAGAGCATTCTTAGGATTCACTCAGATTGTGGTGGTAAGCAGTCGGATTTAGTTTCAATTGTTAATTTATCAATAGCCACCTCACTGGCCCTGGTTGTATATTGAGGATCCCCCCCCCCCCCCCCCCCCCCCATTAATTGCTATTTTATTGCATTTACAGAAAGCCATACTTTCCAAAATAACATATTAATAAAATGAGTTGATGCTAACTGAAATTTCACTGTACGTCGTTAGGTGTCTACCTTCACAATAATGTTTATGATCATTGTGAGTGGTATGGTCAAATTTATATCAAAATCACATGACTATGTCCTCACCTCACAGTTCAGAGAAAATGAGGCTTAACTGCTAACTCTTTGAACTTTAACAGCAGCTACAGCTAGAAACTTTGAATACCTAATATTGAAGTTGAGTAGGTTTCTCACCTGCCTACTTCATAACTAATGCCGAGTAATTGTAGTATATTGTTAGAATAAATGCAAACAACTTTCTTATAAATATACTTATTTTTATTTGTAACAAATTCTTGTTTGTGTTTTCTTTTATATTTTTCAATTCAGCACACACACACACACACACATATCCTTTGCACATGATTTATTTCCCATGGACTTTCAATCACTTGGTGAGACAATTGGCAGGACTTTCAAGGTTCAAATAACAGAGAAATCTCTGAATTTTCCCATCTTCTACTGTCCAGGACAGTTTGTCAGTCAACCTATCATTCTGTTAGCACTGCCATCTCATGCTGAGTTGGCTTATTTATGAATATTAAAGCCTTCCCTTCATGTACCATAAAAGCAATGACTGAATTCAAACAATCTTTTTTGTATATCTTTTTACCCACAGATACGAAGCATCCTAATAGGATGGTGTCTTTTGGAACAAATTTACATCCTAAAGCAAGGTCATATACTCAACAATGTGGCTATGTATGGTACATTTATAAATGATTGCCAAACAATTGTTGGTAAAAAGAAGCTTTCTTCACAGAAGAGAATACAACTTCCCCCTCCCTTTTTAAAATTTGTTACTACACACTACAAGCAGTGCTTGAATCAAACAAAACTAAAACCACACTAATTTGAATAAAGTTAGGAAAAAGAAATGGGAAGAATGCTATAAAAATTGGCCTTACGAATATGAAAAGCAATGAAGAAAGAGCAGAAGAGACTGAGCTAAGCTTAGCTACGTTTTGATAGGGACTTTCATAGCAGAAATTGTAAATGTTTGAGAAAGTAGGAATGCATTTGCTCGTAAACTGTAGGAGTGCAGAGAATTTTCGATGTAATGCTACTAATTACTGTATAAATAACCACTAAAGAAGAAATATAATTAAGTGTAATATGTTTGATCCAAATCATATTTCTCAAAATGACTCTTGCACTACTTCATCCCATTTGTGTCTGCTTTGATAGCGATGGTTATTTTTCAATAACATTTGAAAAATGTTTCAAATTACTTTTGTCAAATCATCACTTTCCCTCTCAGAGCCAATTATTGGAAACAAATTCTATTCAAGACCAAGAACTGTGCTTTTTAACTAAAGTACTTTGTACCAAAGCTACAAATAATTACAACCATCAAAATAACCTTTTACTTGTAAAGGTGCAACATCAGTGAGACCTAAACCAAGACAGTACGACTCATGCCACACAACACGTCAGCACCCCGCAAAGCCAACTCACACTCTGACTTTCTCTTCGACGCAGACATGGCCTTCTTGATAGCTGTCCAGTCCTCAAGGATGTCTGCGTCGCTGAGCATGTACACAATGTAGGGGCCGGACACAGTCACAGGTTTCTTGCGCGAGCTCATGTGAAGGTCACTGTTGCCACGCAGACTGGAGCTCCCGCCACCACCGCGCCGTGCCAGACGGCTAGAGTCAACGCCCCACAGATCTGCGCTGAGGTCTACGTTGGAGCGATCCTCTTCTAGTCTGCGGATGCGGTCCTCAAGCTCACCATGGATACTGTCCCATAAGAGGGATTTCTCACTCTGGAAATGAACAGTTCTGTTACTACACCAAACTGTTGCAATGATTCAGTGATATAGGTGATGTGGTAGGATATCTTTGGCATTTTTAAAATAATTAAAGATGTTGTCATTGCCAACAATGTTTTTTAATCAGACAACTGATGATGATGGCTAAGCCATCGAAAGCTGCTTTTGAATTAAAAAACATTGTTGGCAATGACAACATCTTTAATTATGATTCAGTGAGTTGTGCATTTGATTGAAGTAGCAAAATCTGAAATTCTAATATATTAAAAAGATCACAAATGGAATCGAGCACAGAAGAGAACTTTGTTTGTAAAGTCTGGAAAATGGTCTTGCCTCATAGTTCTGTATTGCTGCCAGCTCTTCAGCTTCAAACTTGTTGCGAATGTTCTGCAGCCGAAGCTCGCGGAGAACTCCGGCCACCTCTGTACGTACACGCATATTTTCCTGTAGCTCCTCCAGAGGCTGAAGATATTCTTGCGCACGGCCCGAACGCACTTCCCCCAACTTCGTGTCCACTTGCGTGATGCGTTCACGGTACAGCCTGACAAATTAATCAGAATGAGTCAAAATTAAGTTACATTGTTTGCAATACTTGATTGCACTTTGTATTTTAAAAAATATTTATAATGACCTACTTACAATATTAATACATGATGAAACTAATATTCTTTCAACTCAAGGTAAGTAGAACTCAATTAGCAAGTAGCAAAAATCAAAAGCTTATCCTTGAAGAAAGTACAGAGGGATCAAAAGAGCTACTCAACAACAGGAAATTCTCCAAGGAATCTATGCTAAATCAACAATCATTTAATGGGGAATTCGGATGGTGAACATTACCTTTAAATAAATTGTATTTGTTGACCTATTACCAAACAGAATTAGGAATTGAAGTAAAAAATACAGCAATAAATGAGAAAGTTTGAACAAAATTACTTACTGCTCTCTCAGTAAAGTAAATTGTCTTTCCAGATCAACAAGATTCTCCATACATTCTGTGCGACGCCTCTCGCATTCCTCTTCGTCCATTTCTGCCAAACAAGAACATCATGAGAACAGCAGACGCAAGGAATTATAACAAAAAGGGAGATTTATATGACGTTTCAAAATATAACTTTGTAATCAAGCTTTTAAAACTTGATGGTAACAACAGAGTAGTGAAGTAGCACAATGGAAAATTCTCTTATTTTAGAAACACCCTTTCTTGAAAAAACATGTTTTTATGCATATTACCACTGTTCCACACACAGTACTATTGAAATGTTTATTAATTAAAGATATGAAAGTGCATTGTCTTTCTAATAAAAATTTAAACAATAAGGAACTTATTAACATAAAAATACTGGTACTTCTTTGAGAATTGATGTTATTGAGTTGAGATAGCAGAGAAGGGAAAACAAGAAACAAATCTACAAGAACAATGAAACTGACAGAAAAACTTAAAACAATATTTTCCTATTCATCTTCAACACTGTCTTACCTGAACTGTCATCGGAGTCGGAAGGAGCATCGCTGCTATCACAGCTGGAGGTTGATTTGTCACTCTCACCAGACTCGTGCTCCATTTCATCGCCATCGCTATCTTCTCGTTCTTCTTTGATTCCTGGCATTGCGTCTCGCCGGACACTGCCTGCAGTAACTCTTCTTGTTGCCGTCAGTTTGAATGTGGTTCTGTATAAGGAAACAAGTAGTAGTTTTAAATATAATTTTTAACTAAATTAAAATGCTTTTTTAAAATAATTCTAAAAAGGCTAAACTGGTAATTTATATAAAAAAATTACAAGATAGATTGATATTAAGTTTAACTTTGTTACAGATGTATCATTGATAACTTTTATATTTTAATTTATTATTGCAGAATGTGAGGAATAAGTGATAAAAAACATTTTATCGTTTCGTGACACAAACAGCTCAGAGATTTTTCAGATAATGTGAAATTAATATTGCCACATTACTAAAAATATTCCACCCGCAGAAACTCTTAGTTAGCAGGATACATTATTTTAGTCACAACAGATTTTAACAATAACAGTAATTGTTGAGTATTTTGCAAAATTGCCTTTTCACATTTTTGCTTTCAGAATCCAGGCTTAAAATTAGATATGTTTCATTAAAACACAATTCAGTTGAAATTGTATTATTGTTTCAAAATGTTTAATTAATTAATTAAACATTTTGAAACAATAATACAATTTCCTTTTCTCCTTTCTTCCAAAGATGAATTAAATAGTCAGCAATTAACACCGCTTCCTATTCAGTAGGAAAATTAGAGAGATGCTCATCATTAAGGATGAAAACTCAATGCTCAATTTGGAATATAAATGTGCAGAACATTTTGACACTAATAACATTTCCCTACAAGTAAAATACCTACAATAATTCTTGGTTTAAAATTTACCCAATGCAATCAGGGCATACAATGAATAATGTACATGCTTCAAAAAAAACTTTTAATTAAAAAAAAAAAAGAAAAGAAAAAAAAAGTCAAAATAGTTTATATTTAATAGAAGAAATTAATTAATAACATTACAACCCTACAACACTATGTAATTATTACATCACAACAAACAACATGCACTACAAAATTGTTTTGTCTCTAGTTGTGATGCTCTATTTTAAGTAGGTAGTTTTTAGATTGAACCACAAAGACATTGCAAAGAAAATTTTGTATCTTTTCCATAAAGCATTTGGCACTCACAACTAAAAAACTACTTTATGCCCATATGTAAAATTAAAAATTAAAAATGTTTGGAACAAGAATATTCTATGTAGAAATAAATATTTTAAAAAAATTAAAACAGTAGATAATAAATAAACAAAATTCAAATACTTGATTACAAACACAAAAACATATGTCAGTGCTATATCACTTTCTCGGTTTCAAAGTTTGCCACCGCTGATAAAAAGCTTCCGATAACACTAACAACAAAAAACAAAGAAAATACGCATGGTTACAAAAACCACTTCGCATGCTTTTCAGGTTAAGTTGCATACGGTTATAAATATTTCACGTAATACGGAAGAATCTGGCCACGTTAACTCGAAATATTGATGTACCTCGTTGGCTTTTGACAGTTCACAACACTTCAACACAATTTCACATACTCTGTCACCACTAGAGCTCAGATTCGTACGTCAACAAAATCAACAAACCGCAACAAACGAGGGAGAAAATAAACATTAGCGTCTATCTCCTATACTCTGATTTAAATGTACAGTGAATTAACACCAACCAACTAGAACACCCAATCGAGTGCTTCGTTACAATTAAAGTGTTTGATAAGCGTTGAATTAAAGCTTTTGATTGGATAACTGTGTCACAGCTGATTGAAAGTCAACTCACCATATATTTAAATTGGAATATAGAATAAGCAGAGCATACCCGATCGTTACCCTAGCCAGTTTTTAACTTCATTCATTTTCACAGCCATCTACGTGTAACAAGGCCCACCGGATAATATCTCGTTGGTCACGACCTATAACAACAAAGCAAAAAAGAGCGTTCTTACATGATCAAAGCTTGCAAGATGATTCTTTTTCGAAGAAACATTTTCCAAGCTATCACCACAATCTAATAACAATTATTAGACTGCGTTTCCAAGGTCAAAGCGAAGAATAAAAATAAACGGAAGACTGAAGAATGTAAGGTCATAGATTAACATATTCAGCCATGGCAAGATCCTTACAGTACGTGCGCACGAAAATTAAATTTTCGCAATCAAGGTGAAAGACGTGAACAAACAACGCGAACTTCTTATCGTGGAACAATACACCTCGCCGGTTAGCTAATTGAAAATAGTGCGTATTCAAAATGATATTTTTTTCTTCAGAAATATTAATGAGCAATTCAATATAATTATTAATAACTTTTCGGACATTAGATTTCGTTTACCATCGAGATTAGAAAGTCTTATTACACAATTAGAATGAGTATTTAAAAATTAAAACAAGATTAAAAAGGGAGGGGAATAGCAAGGGATAGAAATACAGCATTCAAGATAGAAGTAGCCACTCAATATGTGAAAATTAAAAAACAATTAGTAATTTGAAAAAAGGTAAACTTATATTGTATATTACGCTGTTTACTAATTATTGTTCATTCATAAAAAAATTAATATTTCAAATATTGGTTCAAGTGTACTTACGGTAACGCGTTTGCTTACATAAAGACCTATCGTATTACGCGCGTCATTGGTCACGAAACGTTTCCCAACTTTAATATTAACCCTTGATGGATTACCGTTAAAAAATAGCTGCGTGACCAACTACCACCATGTACGAATAGGCATTGAACTACAGATCTTATTTCATGGGTCCATGGTCAGTGCGGGTCACTTTTATACGGTGGGGTCACCACATAAAAGGCATCATTCCGGAAATATAGTTTTGATCGCTTCTGTAGAAGATTTTTTATTAAAATATGAAGAAAACTTATAAGAAAGAACACTGTACATTGTACCATTATCCTTTGTGGTGGTCAGTTGTGCCATGAATTTGATAGAGCTTTAGTGGGTAATCTAAAGAAAATGCCCGGTTTCAGACCTGGCATTTTCGTTATTTTCAGTTTAATATATACTGTCTGGATTATTTTAATGATGTAATATTTTGATACTTGGCGACATAAATCAGTGTCAGAATTGCTCAGCTGATACACGATCTGCCCCCTTCATTTATTCATTCCGAGTTGGCTGCAACTAGACGCCAGCTAGAACGCTCTTTGATTTTAAAACAATTTTCATGCTCCCCATTCTTCCCCAAAAGGCTAGAAATTATTGATAAAGTTATATATATATATATATATATATATATATATATATATATATATATATATATATATGACTAATATAAAAAGAAACATGTTTATCATTTAACAAAAATCTATGATCCCCTCTCTCCCAAAAGATGATTAGCTGGATCCGCCCCTGATACATGTGCTGTAACAACTGTCATGTTTTATCTCATCTCATATATACACACGCACATTTCACACCGACTTACATATTAAAGCATTTAAGAAGCCAAATAACTATTCAACACAAAAAATGTAATAAGCTTATATTAGTGATAGAATATTGTAGAATAGACAACTCACCTCTTCATTAAGTGAAGTCGTAGTCTTCCGCGGTCAGTCATGTGCGTGATCTGGACTGTCCGGGTGACGCCGCGTCGAAGGCTGTGTTGCCGACGTTTTGACCATCTTGTCGTGGTCTTCCTCAGGGCTGGTATGGCCACGCCTGGCCCGGCAACACAGCGTTCGACGCGGCGTCACCCGGACAGCCCAGACCACGCTCACCTCTTCATTAAGTTACTCACGGCGTGAACTGACTGGAAGAATCCCTCCCCCTTTTCCTCAAGAGGTGGATGTCCTCTACTGCCAAAGTAATAACCATTGGACACAATGTTACATCCATTTCTAGGTGCTTCATTTATGTCTTAAGCTTTGAAATGTTTACATCAAGGAAAAGGAGGGGAGGAGGTTGGTGATTCCCTCCCATTTTTGCCCTTCTTTTTGTGGCACTGTTGCATTTGAGTTGACATTCAAGGTAATAAAGGTCTCACTACCTCCAGTTAGAGACAACATCAAAGTGAGGAAAAATGTTTTTGTTTCATATTTCCTCTTTGTTCATTAGTTGTTTTTTTTTACATCCCTCCTGAGGAAAATTTCCAATTCACACACTATTATTAAAGTAATGAAAATAATTTTATCCTGAAATGTGAAGTCAAAGTGGAATAAAAGAATTATCAAAATATCTGATGTTTCTTTTTAATTAGTTCCAACCAAGATTACAAAATAAAACTATAAGACAAAGGTAGAGAATGTTGCCTAATATAAAGCCAAACGTGAACACACATTCCCACGTTGAAATTACATCGATATTGACTTTGATTAGTGCACCCAGTACACAACTTGCTTGCGACGAGGCAGCCATAATTTTCTCCTTGTAATGGCCAATGGATCCGAGATGCACGAGGGGATTTTGCAACTCCCTCCACCAAAGGATGTTCCCAATTTGAGGACTGTGCCAGTTTTACCCACAAATTCACATTTTTTTTTACAGGAATAAGGTAACTTCAATATTTTCTGGATTAAATTATTATATATTTAATTACTATATTATTTCATGTATTTTTGTAAAATTGCTAATTTCATATTTTATTACATTGTCAACATGTTTGCATGGTACTCTTCACAAAGATTTGCAAATATGTCTTTCTGAAAAACAAAGCAACATAAAACTGCTTTTTATGGCATCCTTTCCCTTTGGTGACAAAATTACTTCCTTCTTCTTGGAAATAACATTTTTATTTGGCGAGAATGAGTGGATGTTCGCAAAGCAGAAATACTTGCAACAACATGCTTGCTCATGCTTCATAAATTATGAGTGTAACTCAATCAAAATCTTTAAAATATTTCCTACAGCCCTTATACGCATTTAACTGCACTCTAGTGGAAAACATACACCCAGTGTTGGGGAGAAATTGAGTAAAAGTTATTCAATTACTTGTAATGATTACTTTGTTAGTAGTTTTAACATGTAACTGTTACTTTTAACAAAATATACTTTTAACTCATAACTTACTCGATATAAAATTATAATTGTTACTTTGTAGTAATCATTACATCACATTGTAATCATGAATAATTCCTAAATATGCCTCTCTCTTTTTTCCCGCCTTCTTGCAAACTAAATGAGTGGGTAAATTCATTTAGTTCACCATCTAGGCTGAACTAGAGGCCCCCATCCACAGTATAAAAAAATTTGCCATGGCTCCATCTCAGTGTACAAAGCAAAAACTTTTCTTTAAGCTACTTTGTTCATGAACGACATGTTTTTACCTGTACAGTTGAATTTGTGATTGGCAGATTCACACCCGACAGATTTCTGTATTGAGCAAATTTTACTGAAATAGTTTTGAATAAATGAAATATATTGATTTTAGGAGTGGGGAAGAACTTATTAACAAATGAAAAATCAAGGTTTTTATTATTTATATTGTGATTATATTATTATTTATATATTACTTCAAAAGCAACTGACAGTGTACAATTCAAGTTTTTTTTCTGAGGAAGTTTTCGAAGACGTGTTTTATATTCATTTCTACGAAAATTTTAAAGAAATCATCTAATATTAAAGGGCAACTTTCCATTGAACTTATACATAATTTTCAGATTTCCTCAAAATCGTGTTTTAACTGGCTAATGCAAGTGCAATATGTGGGACAAATTGTTGCAATTTCTTTTTGTAAGTTTTAATTTCAGTTTTCATTTTATCTCCTTATAAAATCTTGTTTCTGTAGGAACACACTAACTCTTTACAGTAGCATTTATTTTTCACACAGCAACCAATTTTGCGGCCCTAAACAACAAATATTATTCAGAATTTCTGTTGTCCCCAATACTTCAAAAATATTTTCCTCTGATACAGCTTATTTTAATTTGCATTCACCGATTCAAACTTCTTGATCAATAACCACTATTTTAGTAACTGTTACATTTTTTTAAGTTCACAGAGACTATGTAAACACAATGGTCAAATCAAGGGCTGAAATATAGTATAGTATATGGTACAACCTAAGGTAGTCGTTTAAACCGGCACTTCGCGCCGTTCCAACATTAACTAGGCAGGATTCTGGAGGCTTTCTTGAAAAGTGATGTCTTACAAAAGTGAATCGGTAATAATGTGTTGGATAGACTCAAGGATGCTTATAGTGAACACGAGGGCCAAAGGCCCGAGCCTCGCTGTGACTTGGATCCGGGCAAGCGAAGCAAGAAAACTTGCTATTGAATGTAAATTGGCATTACAATGCGGCGAGGACAAAGCATATGAAGAACGAACCATAAAAATTGCCTATCCATAAGTTTTATTCATTTCTATTAGCGCATGTACAGTAGGGCTTAAGCCCCACTGCCACGCTTCGCCAAGGGTGTGCCATATACTAACTTTTAACCAAATCAAGAAATAAAATTCACTTCACACATAGACAATTTATTTACAAAATGTTTTAATTTGCACAATTGAAACCAAAATTTTCCTTAATCAATGTCAGTTTTGTGAACAGCAATCTTTCTGATTTTTTCATACCACTGATTGAGAGTCTTTTGCACAAATTTACTATTACTTCAAAATATGAATGGCAACTTCGCTATAAAATTACATTGCCCTTGGACAAGATCATATCCCTTCCTACAGTTCACTAACTGCGAATTACATAGTAAAAACATTGGGAACGGATAATAATTTACCAACCACTTGTAACTACAACGCACTTTACGGTAGACCTACTGGGTCCAATCAATCCTTCCGAATCTTCGCAACCCGTGGGTCATCCGGGCGATAGACAGTGTAGGACATTCTATACTGCTTATATTGTCCATCCCATCCTTGATATTTGTAGACAGTATATCCGCCTATTGCCAGTCCTAAGAGTGCTATACAGGAGGACCCCATGATTTCAGGGATTTCGTTCCATCCACGTTTGATTAGTGCACCCAGTCCACGACTTGCTTGCGACGAGGCAGCCATAATTTTGATTTTCACTCTGAAGAACCGCCTGACAACTTGCCTGAAACAAACACACCAGCTCTGAATCTCAAATCCTTCCACAATGCACAAATTTAGTAAAGCTCTCTTCGTCGTGTACCTGTCGTTGACAAACTTCGCTGATCGTCAGAAGGTCAGGATCAGGATACGGGACATAAAAACGACTATAATACTCTTTGGAAAATTCGGTGATGACAAGATCCCGCAAGATCTCCTTGGTTGACAAATGAAAGTCGGAGCAGCCTCTGAGTTGGATAAAGAATTTCTACATTCATTATTACCAACAAAATGCAGGGTCGCCAATCCTTTAGGTTATGATAAGTTTTTGAGGAATGAAGCGTGATGGTGGTGATAGCACGTGTGACGATAAACTTGTGTATTGCTGTTTTGCCTCATATCATTTATGAATATAAGAATGATTGAGTCGTGTATTGCGTTTTGCTGAGTCCATTTGTAGTGAATAATGGAAACCGTGAAGCGAATTGAAGAAAGTATTTTGTTTTTTGAAGATATTGACCTGGACCTTGAAGGTAAAAATGTATATTAACCCTATTCTTCAGTTAATTTCTAAGTGTCAGAAAACATTACAATTTTTAAATATTCAATTCCTGTCGATGATGTCAATTTACTTGTATAGCAGTGCAGATAATGATTTTTTTATTGCTACGTAATCGTTAATAGTAATTTCAAAAATAAGAATCCATGACATTAATATTTACATTTGTAATGCATAATTATTCAGTTCATTTCTTTGTTTATACATTGTGAACTATTCTGAAATGTTTAATTTGCACTTTGTGAAAATACATTAAATTTTGCATCAGATAAATTTTACATTGCAAGTATTTTTTAAATGAAATTTATTTCATCTCATTACATTTTAATAAATACTTTTTAATGATATTTGCTTTGATGACTATTGCTCTGCAGTGTGTCAGAATGACTGTCATAGGAAAAAAAAAATATTGTTCTTGATGAAAGTGATTTCTGGAGTAATCAGACTCTACACTTCTGATCTTATTATCCGTTTTAAGCTCTACAGAATCCCTAGGTTTCAAGAGAATGTTTACCTGTTAAGAAGACTCCATCAAATAAGCCAAATCACCAAAATCACATGGCTTTAGGTTATCAAAGGTTTAATCGTTTGTTTCATCTCAAATTTATACCGTCAATCAGTGTAAAAACTAATGCCACAGAACATAACCTCAAGAATGCCCGGATTAGGAACTGAATGACGAATGCTCCAGTCTCTCTTAATTTGACTACCCTCTGGAAGGTTTTGATCTTCCCTGTACATTTTTGACATGTCTCAGCAGGATTGAAACAAATTCTGGACGATGCAACAACACACTATTCCGTTGGAAACTGTTACCATTGCCAAATTGTGAATGTGATGTCGACAATGAAACATATTATTTTTGGTTAAAGTAGGGTACGCCCGCCCCTCCACATCACGTTTCTGAGGGTGTACTGTGTATCCTACTTTAAGCTGATTAAAGATGTCATCATATCTATCATGTCTTTAGACATTATATAAAAAAAAGGTTAATGGCAAAACAGCGGACATTTTGCCAACAACAATACTAGCAGCTAAATGGTTGTGGTGTGCAAGATATTCTCCAAAATTGATATTTGGAGATCAATTCTGATTCATGGTCTCATGAATTTGAAATGGATATGTTGATTTTTGGGGTGTTCATCATACATACATGAATTTTCAACATTTTGCCAATTCCCCACAAAATGGCTCCAATTATTTTCTTTAAATTTTACTTTCTCGCTAATGCTACCGCAGTAAAGAGTAAATGTAATGCTGCGCGAAAAATCGGCGAATTTTCGGCAGAAAAACTCTTTTATTATAGAGCCCTGACATGAACGAAGTGGACAAATCCAATGCTAAATTAAAAAAATCCTCTAACACATGGTGTAGCCAGAATTCATGTTTTGTGGTGTCCTGAATATTACTCGCGCAACTTTTCTTGAACGATGGATTGAAGAATACGGGCAGAGTGAGGGTATTAGTTACGAAATCGGCCACTAGAATTTATGAAGTAATGCCAATCTCTGGAGAATCAGTCACGCCTTCGTAACGTTCTCTACAATTTGTGTTCTAACTTTATCAGGAGTTCGACGTATCTCCTGTGATAGATCCGTACCTGCTTCGGACATTTCTTTAGATTTTTGGAGAAAATAACTGATTGAAGTTCTCTTCAAAAGAAAGTTTCTATTTCGTGCCAGTGAAAATGTGTTTGGAATGTTGTCATCCGCTGGCTGCGAGCTTTTGCCTTCGTCTGTTTATTGTTGCAGAGAGGGGGAAGGAAGGTCTTCGTTCAAGAAAAGTTGCGCGAGTAATACCGAAAAATCGATTGACGGCAAAATGTCTGTCTGTCCGTCTATCCCCCGCCGGTCTGAATGTGAACAACGGTAGCGGCTAAACCGTTTAATCGATTGTCGTCAAAATCGATCTGGCTGATGCCGCGGCCCCTTCATTTTGAAACTGACATTTTAATTATGAGAGGTATTTACATGAAGAACCTCGGGCATTTTTTATTTGATTTTGTTGGATAGTGTAAAGAATGTTCAAGAGAATGATGCGTTACATGTTCTTTGAAAACCCTAATTTTTCTAAAATTGCAAAAATTCAAAATTTTTCCGACGTCTTCCTACAACGCTTATATTAAGAATAGAGATTTTTTCGCTTATTAAAATGTGTTCCAAAAAGATAATTTTGAAATAAGGTCATGTACAAATTTTAGAAAATTTGAACACAAATTGATGAAATTTTGCGTGAACTTTTGGCAATTTTTAATTTTGTTCAAACATTTTTTTTTCTAAGAAACGTCTCCATCGTTTTTTCTGATAGTCTGAAGGATGTTTAAGGGAATGGTCTCATGCAGGTCTATTGTTGGTAAAAATACCTGATTTTTTGAAAATTGCAAAAATTAAAAAAAAAAATGTCAGCATCTTCGTACGTGATGACACAATATATTTTGGTTGAAGTAGGGTACACTGTACACCCTCAGAGAAGCGTGACGGGTGGGGGGAGGCGTCTTCTTAAGCCCTCCCTTAACCTACGCTACGCGCTATGATAGAAATTATGGATCGGCTATTTTCGTGTCTTGCCCTTCATACGCTTTGTCCCCGCCGCATTGTCATGCCAATTTACTTTCGAAGGGAAGTTTTCTCGCTTCGCTCGCTCGGATCAAAGTCGTGGCGAGGCTCGGGCCTTCGGCCCTCGCGTTCACTGTAAACATTCTTGAATCTATCCACCCCATAATTACCAATTCACTTTTGTAAGAAAGTACTTTTCAAAAAGCCTCCAGAATTCAAACTGCGCAGTTGCCACCGGAGCGGCGCGATGTGCCAATTTAAACGTCGTCCGTAAGTTGTACCGTATACTAGACTTTAGTCTATTTTTTATGATATGTGATTATTGAAAACACATCTTCAAATAAGGTAATGTTGAATGTTTTGAAAATAAGTGTTTTTCGTATTATTTGGTGACAAACAATAGCCCGCTCTGATTTTATTGGGCTTCATGAACATAATTTCAAGCAGTTGGATGCTTTGTAAATTAAAATTTGTATATTGTCTCATATTTATTTATTCTTTTAATCCATTCAACCTTTTTTTCATTTATGTATTAATCTTTTAGAAATTATTTGAAATATATTAAATGAAAATTGATTGCATTCAAGGAATATGAGATTGGAATGTAACAATGACTTGGGACCTAATTTTTGTTAAGTACGTCTTATTGTTAGGGCATAATTTATCTCTATGAAAAGCAGTTATAATTGTCAAATTTGTGTTGATATTTGAAAATATTTAGTTTTGAACCAAATGTTGTTCATTACAATCCCATAGAGGGCAAGGGTGACTGGTTGCTGGGTGGGTTACAAAGTGGTAGAATTCCTGAGCACCCAATTTGGGAACTTCCTTGTAAAGATGCTACATTCACACAAAATAAGAAAATGCAAGAATGTTCACATTGTCACTGTTCATTTGACTTCCTTATAGTATTACATAAATAATACTAAAGACTAGAAAGTATGTGCTGTTTTTGCACCAGTAGTTTATTAAATTCTTTAAGTAATTATTGAATTTAGGTATCTATCTTGAATTTAGGTAACCCTAAAAAGATGTATTTAAATTTGAATATGTTGCTTCGACTATTACATTGTTGGATCTGTGTCTCAGATATGACAGTTTTTGACTAAATTTGGAAATATAATAGCAGAAATATAATGACTTGCTTTTGTGATCTTACAGTTTACTTCAACACAAATTGTTGTAAATGTAAATGAACTAAACATTAATTCAAATATTTTTCCAGATGGAGTGCCTCGTGTGGTGCGAGATTTTCAGAAGGGCGAGTTTATGGAAATCGTTAATTCCCCTGACTGTGAGGAGATTTTTGCAGATGTCCTTTCAGCATCATTAGATGAGCCTCTGGATGAGCTTTTGGAGAAGGGGGCCCAACAGTTTTTGGACAAAAGTGGTTCAGATCATAAAGAGTAAGATTTCAGTGATCATTTCTGTTTAGTTCCTCTGACATTTGTAGTGAAAGTTATTCTGTAAACGTGGAAGAATATTTCAAGAAAGAGACTGGTGCTATTAGAAATTTTACGCGTTGGTTTGATTTGATGTGACTAGTTGTGAGAGAGTTATTCAGCCGTTGATGCGCCTGCAATCACTAATCAATCAATTAATTTAACTACTACTATTACTGTTATAATGCATGGGTAATGTAAAGCAGCCAATGTGGATAAATATAGGTACCGGCACTAGAGAATGATTCTCTGACTCAATGCTGCATTCTGTGCATGAGCAACCAATATATTCCTAAACTAAAATCATCATCAACCATATATTCCTAAACTAAAATCTGTTCGGTCTCTCTCATCTTCTTCTGGCATTTAAAAAGAGTTTCCCTGTCAGAGAGCCTTTCATGCTGTGACAGCCTGTTGTGATGTGCCAAAGTTTTGAACGGAGGAAAACGAAACACGACAGTCAATGGCTTCAGTTTTCAGCTAGTAATAAACATGTTCAACCGTTAACGTTCTCGCAATTTTAACATTTTAGGTCAGATCTGTCAGGTTCCCATAAGAGCCCATGTTAAAACAGCAAACTTTACGGTCTCGTTACGTGAAAACTAGAAGGTGAAATCGATTCAAACTCCACCAGAACATAAAATACCATCTCATCTTTCGATTAATTCAATAAGAAAAGGCATGTCAAACGTAACACTTCTGTCGCTCTAACCGCCTTATTGGCTTTGTTTGTTGGCTGTGAACGTGCGTGTGCGCAGGGCGGTGCGCGTGCTGTGCGTGGGCGCGGCGGCGCTGTGCGCGTGGCTGCAGCGGGCGCAGTGCGGGCCGCCGCCGGCGCCCGCGGCCGAGGCGGAGGCGTCGGATGGCGAGGGGGG